AAAGGAGAACTCAAACCGGCAACGTTTGCTTATAATATGATTCTATAACTAGAAGATCCAAAAAATTCCACCAGAAAACTTCTATAACTAATAAATGAATTCAGCAAAGTAGCAAGATAGAAAATCAACACCCATAAATCAAACGTATGCCTATACATCAGTGATGAATCCACTGAAAGAAAAATTAGGAAAACTACTCCATTCATAATAGCCTAAAAAAAAACTTGGAAATCAATCTAACAAAAGGGGTGAAAGACCTCTATAGTGAAAACTACAGAACACTAAAGAAAGAAATTGAAGAAAATCTCAGAAGATGGAAAGATCTCTTATGCTTTTGGATAGGTGAAATTAATATTGTCAAAATGGCCATACTACCAAAAGCATTATACAGATTTAATGAAATTCCTATTAAAATACCAATGACATTCTTCTTAGAAATAGAAAAAGCAATCTTGAGGGCTGGGACTGTAGCTCAGTGGCAGAGCACTTGCCTAGCATGCATGAGGCACTGGGTTCGATCCTCAGCAACACATAAAAATAAACAAATAAAATAAAGGCAAACTGTCCATCTACAACTATAAAACTTTTTTTAAAAAAAGCAATCATGAGGGCTGGGGATGTGGCTCAAGCAGTAGCATGCTTGCCTACCATGTGTGAGGCACTGGGTTTGATTCTCAGCACCACATAAAAATGAAATAAAGATAAAGCAATCATGAAATTTATTTGGAAAAATAAGAGACCCAGAATAGATAAAGCAATCCTTAGCAAGAAAAGTGAAGCAGGAGGCATCACAATACCAGACCTTAAACTATACAACAGAGCTATAATAACAAAAATATCATGGTATTGGCACCAAAATAGACTTATAGACCAATGGTACAGAATAGAAGACACAGAGACAAACCCACATAAATAATGTTATCTCATACTTGACAAGGGTGCCAAAAACATTCACTGGAGAAAAGTTAGCCTATTCAACAAATGGTGCTGGCAAAACTGGAAGTCCATATGTAGCAAAATGAAATTAAACCTCTATCTCTCATCCTGCACAAAAATCAACTCAAAGTGGATCAAAGACTTAGGCACTAAAACATAGACCCTGCACCTAATAGAAGAAAAAATAGGCCCAGGTCTTCACCACGTCAGCCTAGGATCTGACTTCCTCAACAAGACTCCTAAAGCACAAGAGGTAAAATCAAGTATCAATAAATGGGATGTATTCAAATTAAAAAGCTCCTTCTCAGCAAAGAAAGCAATTAATAACTTGAAGGGAGAGCCTACAGATTGGGAGAAAATTTCTACCACATGCACCTCCGATAAATCATTAATATCTAGGATATATTAAGAACTCAAAAAACTTAACACCCCCCAAAATAATATAATAACCCAATCAATAAATGAGCTAAAGAACTGAACAAACATTTCACAGGGAAGAAATACAGTTGATCAACAAATATATGAAAAAGTGTTCAACATTTCTAGCAATTAGAGAAATTCAAATCAAAACTACTCTTAAGATTTCATCTCACTCCTGTGAGAATGGCAATCATCAAGAATACAGGCAACAATAAATGTTGACGAGGATGTGGTGAAAAAGGCACACTCATACATTGCTGGTGGGACTGCAAATTGGTGCAACCAATCTAGAAAGAAGTATGTAGATTCCTCAGAAAACTGGGAATGGAACCACCATTTGACCCAGCTATCCCACTCTGTGGTTTACACCCAAAGGATTTAAAATCAGCATATTATAGTGACACAGCCACATCAATGTTCATAGTAGATCAATTCACAATAGCTACGATTGGTCTACAAGTGTATTTTGGTGCCAATACCATGATATTTTTGTTACTATAGCTCTGTTGTATAGTTTAAGGTCTGATATTGTGATGATGCCTCCTGCTTCACTTTTCTTGCTAAGGATTGCTTTATCTATTTCTTATTTTTCCAAATAAATTTCATGATTGCTTTTTAACCTAGGTGTTCCTCAGTAGATGAATGGATAAAGAAAATGTGGTATATCTACCCAGTGGAATATTATTCAGCTTTTAAGAGTGAAATTATGGCATTTGCCAGTAAATGGTTGGAGTTGGAGAATATCATACTAAGGGAAATAAGCCAATCCCACAAAACCAAAAGCTGAATGTTTTCTCTAATATGCGGATGCTAATTCACAATAAGGCAGGGGGTACTAGGGAAGAATAGCATTACCTTAGATTAGGTAGAGGGAAGTGTTGGGAGGAGAGGGGAGAGGAGGGAACTTGTATGCCAAATAACATTAGCCACCACAGAGATGCAAATCAAAATCACAATGATATCATTTCACCCCAATTAGAATGTCTATAATCAAAAAGACAAAGAATGACAAATGGTGACAAGGAAGCTGGAAAAATGGAACTCTGATACACGGTCGTGGGAGTGTAAATTAGTGCAGCCATTACAGAAAACAGTGGGAGATTTCTCAAAAAGATAAAAATTGAACTACCATGTGATCCCTCTTTCCTACTACTAAACATTTATCCAAAAGAAATGAAATCAGCATAACAAAGAGATACTTGCACTCCCAAGTTTATTGCTGTGCTATGAACAATAGCCAAGATATGGACTCAAACAAGGTGTCTCTCAACAGAAGAATGGATAAAGGAAATATGGTATCTACACAATGGAATATTATTCAGCCACAAGAAGAATAAAATCCTGGCATTTGCAGCAACTGGCATGGAACTGGAGGGCACTGAATTAAGTGAAATCAATCAGTCACAGAAATACGAATTCCATGTTTTCTCTTTTTAAAATTTTTGTTCTTTTTAGTTATTCGTGACAATAGGGTATATTTTAACATATTTAGGCCAATATGGAGTACACTCTTATTCTAATTAGGATCCCAGTCTTGTGATTATACCTGAGATTCACTGTTGTGTATTTGTATATGTATATAGGAAATTTAAGTCAGATACTTTCCATTGTCTTTCCTAATCCTGTTCCCCCCTTCCTCTTCATTCCCCTTTGTCTAATCTATTGAAATTCTATGCTTCTTCATCCCCCGTTTTTTGTGTGTTCGCATCTACATATCAGAAAGAACATTTGACCTGTGGTTTTGGGGGATTGGAATATTTCACTTAGCATAATAGTTTCCAGATCCATCCATTTACCTGAAAATGTCATGAAGTCATTCTTTTTATGACTGAGTGATATTCCATTGTGTATATAGACCACATTTTCTTTATCCATTCACCTGTTGAAGGGCACCTAGGTTGATTCCAAAGCTTAGCTCAATTGTGAATTGAACCACTATAAATATTGATGTGGCTACATCACTGTAGTATGCTGATTTTAAGTCCTTTAGGTATATACCCAGGAGTCGGATAACTGGGCCAAATGGTGGTTTCATTCCAAGTTTTTTGAGGGATCTCCATATTGCTTTCCAGAGTAGCTGCACCCATTTGCAGTCCCACCAGCAATGTATGAGTGTGCCTTTTCTCCCACACCCTTGCCAACATTTATTGTTATTGTGTTACTTGTGTTACATTGTTGCCCTTCTGACTAGAGTGAGATGAAATCTCAGTGTAGTTTTGATTTGCATTTCTCTAGTTGCTAGTGATGTTGAACATTTTTTCATATATTTGTTGATCGACAGAATTTCTTCTTCTGTGCAGTGTCTGATCAGTTCTTTAGTCCATTTATTGATTACAGCTAAGATGTTGGTTTCATAGAAGTAGAGTGTAAAACAGTAGTCACTACAGGCTAGGAAGGATAGGGGGACGAGGGAAACTGAGGATGTCCCCAGGTCACAGCTGAGAAGGCTTCTGTGATCTGTTCCAACACCCCCCCTTGGTACCAAGACAAAAGGAAAGGAGTGTGAGGTCAGAGAGTGGTCAAGCGTCCTCGCTTGCAGTACATGAAGAACATGACCAAAAAGGCTCCTGCAGCAGAGGGGTTAAAAGCCAGTGGGAGGTGTGTAAAGGCGGAAGGAAACCCTACCTGCTCCAGAAAAGTAAAGATAGCATGGGATGGAGAACAGTCACGCTCAGTTCAAAGGAGGGGCACCAAAGAATTCATTGATAATGTGCCAAGGAAGGGAGAAGCTACAGGAAAAGGCTTGTGAGCTGAAGCTAAGACTTCTCCCATCAGAGGCAGTAGGAGCTGGCAAATGTGCCCAAAGCCCACATGGGCATGCTCAGCCCCCTCCAGAAGTGGCTGAATGCTTCACGGAGCAATGCAAGACACTCATTCACCACAGCCCTGGACACCAGGCAGCACTAGCTACCCACGAGATAGATACTTTAGGTGCTCTGCAGTCTCATTGAGGGTCACTCACCATCTACTAAGAGAACTTGTCATTGGTGATTCTAAAGCACATACGCAGGTGCCGAATTTCTTGAGTGAACTCCAGGAACTCTCTGCCGGGGAAGTAGAGCAGCAGTCAAAGCCATGACATTTGGGAAGAGGCCCAGGGCACGGAGACCCCCACTTTAGACAGTGCTTTAGCAGAATAGCTATTTTTGAATGATAATCTTGTTTGATATTTTAAAAATAAAACTTTGTCAACGGAAAAGAGAAAGAAAAGATCAATGTTAAAGGAGATGGGAATGACAAGTACCCTTATAGAATCAGTACACGCTGTATCCGTGTGCTGAAATATCACACTGTACTGTTACTGTGTACAAATAAAAAATAAACTCGCTTTCAAATTAAAAAAAAAAAAAAGAAAAAAACAGGGAAAGTGGTCAACAGATAAATGAGTAAATAAATATTTATGAGTGAAAGGAAGAGGAGGAAAATAGTATACATATGACCCTTATCACTATCAGCTGACCAAAATTCCTGTCCTCCACGGTGGATCTTTCATATTAACCAACTCTGGACTCTGAGGTCAAGCTCTGCCCTCTATTTTCTCCCTCCCACAGGTAGGAGGGATATATTTCCAGGCAGAGGCAAGTAGGTCAGGTGGGTGTTCAGTGACACTAAGAAACAGCAAATAATCTAGAAGCTGCTGCACCATGAGCGTCTCTGCACTGAGCTTCTTCAGACTCCAGGGCGGCATCTTTGGGTTCCTCCAGCTGGCCTCCCTGCTCTGCCTGCTTCTGCTGCTGTTCAAGGCAGCCCAGTTCTACCTGCGCAGGCAATGGCTGCTCAAAGCCATCCAGCAGTTCCCATCCCCGCCCTCCCACTGGCTCTTTGGGCACAAGGTAGGAACAAGGAGGAAGGGGAGTAGGAGGGCAGGGAGGCCAGAGCTCTCAGAGCCTAGTCAACAAGTCCACAGAGCAAAGCCTCTTGTGTGACCAGCAGACATGGCCTCCAGGGAACACCTAGCTCACCTCTCAGGTGAGCTCATCCCTCACAAGAATCTTGTAATGCTGTTAACTCAGCTCTGTCACATGCTCCTTCCCTATGCAGATCTGCCATCTATCCTAGAAACTCTGTGGTCCCTTTCTGAGTCTCCTCTTCAGATTGAGCACCCTTAGTTCTCTCAACTATTCTCAAAGAATAAGGCTTCCCTGCCCCGGCCACTCAATGCTGTCCTCTGTACCTGGCCTGAGGTTGCCCAGGATCACAGACATTAGTGTTATGGAATCCCTGCCCTGTGGAGTTCTTGGTGTATGGTGACAATGGACATGAATCTCAGAATGTGTCTGTCCACAAGAAAGTAGTCATTCTTCTGTGATGGGTGAGTGATATCCAGAGGAGGGACAAACTGATTTGGTTTGCCTAAAACTAAGGAATTTTCCAGAATGGGTGATTTAGAGCTGAAACCCTAACAGTGGTATGAATGAATGAGGGAGACAGGATGACCGGCAATTGAGTGGTACTAATTTTTTACTTATTCATTAAACATGACCTGTTAACCTCTCCAGTCTCCTCCCACACACCCTGACTGTGATATCCTTAGAACCAAGTCAATCATCCCCTCCCTGTACTACAAAGCCCTTCATAGCCTAGTATAGGTATGGAGTCACTAGGAGGAGAGAAAGGAGCAACTACTGGCAACCTTGGAGGTGAGGTACACAGAGCTAGCCACTTTCTATGAGGATGCCAAATAATTATCAGCATATGGAGAACCAAATATAGGAACTATTAGAATTGGCCATAGAGAAATACTCAGTTTGATTATGCAAATTGCTATACTAATAACTTCTAGATTATTTGTTAATTTTGAAACATTGTGAACTTTAGTTTGATGTAGGTGTCATCAACTGAATGATGTTTTTTTTTTTTCAGAACTAGCTGCTGATATGATGACCCATTAACGACTTCTCCAGGGAAATTTCCATTACACTGATATACGTTAGATTATTTGTAGACTTGACAAATAGATAACATCATTTACATAAATAATATTACAGTACTGAGTTACCTTTCAACTTGCGTTAGCTAATAACAGTTATAGAAAAATATTTCTAGTCTTACAGAGATTGTCATTTATTAACTAGCTCTGCTACCTAAGTTAGGAACTTGAATGCTATGTGTAGTTAGGTTTAACCAATGACAGTACCCAGAGCAGCATTAGCATGCACAGACTACCTTGGGTACCAAGCAATCCAAATGAATGCATAACAGTGCTGAACAGAGTCCCCCAGGTCCCTGCAGGGGACACAGCCATATAGCTGGAGGGTAAGGGCTCTCACTAACCAGGCTCTGAACTAGATTAAAGGACAAAAGAAGCTTCTATAAGGAAATGACAGGAGAATATAGAGTAGCCTTCTTCAGGAATTTAAGCAGGACAATTCTCAGTTCAAGTCAGGATTGACTGTCCCAGACTTACTCCACTAGAACATAAGCTACATGATAGCAGAAACTGTATTTGTTCACTGATTATCCCTAGCTCCAAGAAGGCAATTCATGCAAAGTAAGTTCTCATCAAGTAGTTATCCAATAAAAAAATGAGTGAATCCATTCTTCCTTCTACTTGTTCATATACTCACTTATTGACTGTAGAAAAAACATTTGCACACCTCTACCTATCTTCTACCTATCTTCCCCTTCTATTCCCCCAGTAGGTGAATCCTAAGAGCTTTCTGCAATGCTAGCCACACTTGAGAGGACTAGGTGGACCCTGTGGCTATATCATCACAATCAGATTTTCAGAAGAGGACTCAGCACACCACACAGACGTGACCTGTGGTAACATGGAGATTTGTCAGCACAGGAAGGGTAGCCCTGGTAACCATGTGAACCTCAGATGCACAAAAGCAAGGAATATTTCTGTTGGTTCATGGCTTTATCACGAGCTTCTAGAAAAGTCATGGAACACAGCAGGGCCTCAACAAATATTTGCCAGATGAATGAATGCAAGAGACTCAGAGGACTGGCAGCTTACAGTCCCTAGTTCCATCCCTTCTCCGTGCTGGTTGTCCTGGTACTTGGACTTCACTCAGTACCTCAATGCCCCAACCTTCTTTTTTTTTTTTCACGTGAGCATTTTTTTTATTGGTTGTTTAAAACATTACAAAGCTCTTGACATATCATATTTCATACATTAGATTCAAGTTGGTTATGAACTCCCAATTTTACCCCAAATACAGATTGCAGAATCACATCGGTTACACATCCACATTTTTACATAATGCCCTATTAGTAACTGTTGTATTCTGCTACCTTTCCTATCCTCTACTATCCCCCCTCCCCTCCCCTCCCATTTTCTCTCTCTACCCCATCTACTGTAATTCATTTCTCTCCTTGATTATTTTCCCATTCCCCTCACAACCTCTTATATGTAATTTTGTATAACAATGAGGGTCTCCCTCCATTACCATGCAATTTCCCTTTTCTCTCCCTTTCCCTCCCACCTCATGTCTCTGTTTAATGTTAATCTTTTCTTCCTGCTCTTCCTCCCTGCTCTGTTCTTAGTTGCTCTCATTATATCAAAGAAGACATTTGGTATTTGTTTTTTAGGGATTGGCTAGCTTCACTAAGCATAATCTGCTCTAGTGCCATCCATTTCCCTGCAAATTCCATGATTTTGTCATTTTTTAGTGCTTTGTAATACTCCATGGTGTATAAATGCCACATTTTTTAATCCATTCATCTATTGAAGGGCATCTGGGTTGGTTCCACAGTCTAGCAATTGTGAATTGTGCTGCTATGAACATCGATGTGGCAGTATCCCTGTAGTAGCTCTTTTAAGGTCTTCAGGGAATAGTCCGAGAAGGGCAATAGCTGGGTCAAATGGTGGCTCCATTCCCAGCTTTCCCAGGAATCTCCATACTGCTTTCCAAATTGGCCGCACCAGTTTGCAGTCCCACCAGCAATGTGCAAGAGTACCCTTTTCCCCACATCCTCGCCAGCACTTGTTGTTGTTTGACTTCATAATGGCTGCCAATCTTACTGGAATGAGATGGTATCTAAGAGTTAATAACAAGAATCAACAAATGGGACTTACTTAAACTGAAAAGTTTTTTTCTCAGCAAGAGAAACAATAAGAGAGGTAAATAGGGGAGCCTACATCATGGGAACAAATTTTTACTCCTCACACTTCAGATAGAGCCCTAATATCCAGAGTATACAAAGAACTCAAAAAATTAGACAATAAGATAACAAATAACCCAATCAACAAATGGGCCAAGGACCTGAACATACACTTCTCAGAGGAGGACATACAATCAATCAACAAGTACATGAAAAAATGCTCACCATCTCTAGCAGCCAACCTTCTTTTTTTTTTTTCCTTTTTCTTTTTAGCCCAAGATTATACCTATCCCTGGTAACAAGAATTCTAATGAAGACTCACCCATTCATTCTTCCATATGAACTCACTGATTCCTTCATGCACTTATTCATTTCTTCAAAAATAAGACATAATTACCACGAGCCATGCTGTATGCTGGTCTCTGAAAACATGGAGATGACAGATATTGAAGCCAAATTTGTCAGCACAGGGCCTCGGATTAAAAGATTGAATTGAAATATGATAATAAATCGACACCCAAGAACTGTGGGAACACAGGGAAAGGACACTCTGGGGTCAGCAGGTTTGGTTTTAATGCAATCACGTGGGCATATCATCTAATTTTAGTTTCCTCATTCTTGAGAATAAACTTAATATTCCTTCCCTGACCTCAGGAATGCCTTAAATGTTATATAATTGTCCCAGATTGGTAGGGCTCTATTACAAAGAACCACAGACTGAGAACACATACAACAGAAATGTATTATCCCCAGTTCACGGTGTTGACAAGGCTGTTTCCTTCATGGGCTCTGAAGGAGGTACTTGTTGCTGACCTGAGTCTTTGGCCATCTTCTCCCTATTTCCCTTCACATTGTCTTCTCTCTGCACATACTGCTGTATCCCAAATTCCTCTTTTTATAAGGACCACAGACATGCTGAATGAGGGCCCACCCCAATAAACTCACTTCACTTTGATTACCTCTATAAAAATCCTACATTCAACTAGCATCACTTTTTGAGGTATTAAGGGTTAGCACTTTAATGTATGAAATTGTGAAGAACACAATCAAACTATAATGAGAATGTGTGAAGGAGTTTTGTGCACCTTGGAGTCCATCCCTGAATATTATTTATCAAGTATTTACTGTATGTAAGGTTCTAAGGGAAGTCCCCTGAATGAGGGCCTATAGATAGGGAAACAGCAAGGGTCTGGACTAGAACACAGGTCCTCACAAATAGTCTGACTCTGATCTATCGAGCCCAACCTTCCCATAGCTGTTAAACCTTTCATTCCTACTCCAAAAACTGAATTTTAAGGAAAACATATTGATTTTATTTCACTTGATGACAGATCCAAATGGACCAGGAACTGCAACTGCTGCTGAAATGGGTAGAGAAATTCCCAAGTGCCTGTCCTCGCTGGGTATGGGGAAGTAGGATCTTCTTCATGGTTTATGATCCTGACTACATGAAGATGATTCTGGGGAGATCAGGTGAGAATGAAATCCCATCCCGGCAGCAGCAGCTCTTTTCTCCTGGGTACATACACTGTGTCTATAAAGTTCCAGAAAAAAAGTGGCAATTTAAATGTGTGAACCCTCTTCCAGCCCTTTACCCATGCCACAACCCAGACCAAAGGCAGCAATTATATATTATTCTGACTGCTGAATGTTTAATAAAACAGCTATGCAGCACTACATTGTTTTTTCTTTTATTCCTTTTCAATTTTGTAAACCAAATTGACCTGATCTATAACACAAATTGCCCCAGATGTTAAAAATGAGCCTTATATCCACACTGACTATATCCCTCCCTGTCCTGTGCCATAGAAAGACTGACTACCCATTGTAGAAAAACCACAAGGCTCTGCTGTCTTCCTCCTTGTCATTAAGGTCATGTTCTACACTTCAAATCTTCATTACAGGGCAGGGGGTATTCAGTGACTAGTCTCCAGAGCCTACCTTCCTGAGCCCAACTGACTATCAGGGCAGAGACTGAAGGCTTTGGACCCAGTGTGAAGTGATCAACACACTGCTAACTGAAAGTCACCAAGAACTCATGGCAGACCATGCCTCAATCACACTTGCCTATAGGCTACCTTATTTGGTCACTGATACTTTTCTGAAAAGTCTTTCCTTTGCTTTCAGACCCCAAAGCTAAAACTACTTACAGATTCCTGTCTCCCTGGATTGGTATGTATATCTAAACCTAGTTCCTCCCCAGTCACTCTCAGCAAGATCTCTCTCTCTCTCTCTCTCTCTCTCTCTCTCTCTCTCTCTCTCTCTCTCATTCACAGAGAATAAGAGTTGATATAATATGATGACCCCTCCCTAAATCAAGCCTCATTTCTTTTCTTCCAACTAGAACCTCACCACTTCCTCATGCAGCTGAAAGCCCTCCTGAGGCTCAGCTCTTTTTACATTGCCTTCTAATTATCTCCAAATGTTTTCAGTCTGATATTTATCTATGCCCCTCCTTTAACAATTACCTCACAGCTGTCATAATCACATCAGATACACCAGCCCAATTGGGAAATTCATATTTCTGAAAAGTGCCAATCATTACTGTCTTTGTTCAAAGAAGTTCTGCAATCTGGATCTTCTTCTCCCACCATCTGTTTCTCTCAAATTGTCCCAGTATCCCTCTGATCCTATTGACCACTCACTCATGCACACAACCATGTATGGCCCAGGGTATGGTTTGCTCCTGTTGAATGGGGAGACATGGTTCCAGCACCGCCGGATGTTGACCCCAGCCTTCCACTATGACATCCTGAAGCCCTACCTGGGACTCATGGCTGACTCTGTCAGAGTGATGCTGGTGAGTCTCTCTCTCTCTCTCTCTCTCTCTCTCTCTCTCTCTCTCTCTCATTTCCATTCATCCACTCACAGTACATATTCAAATTCCACAGCCATCAGTCACATGGAGAAATTCTCTGAGACCATTATTGTGAGAAGAGTTCCTCAAAAGTAGTTCACAGAGGACCCATGTATCAGTATAGAGTCACACTTTGCTTATGGTGCAAGGCAGAGAGCATCATGGCGGATATAGACTCCACCTCCCATTTCTAAGCCTTCAGCACAGTAGGTTAGAGGAGTAGTCAGTTGTATCAGACAGCAGGACTACCTATCCCTGGCTGGCCTGGGCAATGGCATCTTCAGTGGCAGGTGCACTTCCCAGGATACAATTCAGTCATGCTCTGGCCTGAGTGCCTAGGGCTTCTGTTTGGCCTTTGCATGGACTTGCATAATGCATGCACTGAAATGGACACCAGCTCCCACATCTCACAACCACCCTATTATGTCATCACCTTTCACCAAAGCTGATGTTTTTATTACCTATATATGCTCAGCAGAAGTTTCTCAAAGGAAAAGGAATTAAAGTTCCTGAAGTCACATCCTGGCTCTTTAGGATTCATAATGCTGCAAACTTTTATACCTTCAAATGGGATCTTCTTACTTGGCCCTCTGGACTAGCTCAAGTCTCAGAAAAGCAGGGTACTCCTCCCCTTTATTCTCCAAAAAAAAAAATGTTTTCTGACTTAGCAAAAGACAATTTCATAATAATTTCTTCCTTAAATTCAAACCAAAGCAATACCATTATGAGAATATATATTTAACTTTATAATAAAAATTTGTGATAAAATACAAATACTTGCTTTAGAGCCTGAACTTGCTTTCATACATCTGCTTCATGACATGAAGAAATTCCATCAGAATACTTAGACACCCAGAGGGCTGAGCCTTACAGCACATGCATTCTGAGAGGACTGAGATCAGTGTACCTTTGCCACCTCAGAACAAGTGGGAGAAGCTTACCAACCAGGACTCATTTGAGATCTCTCAAGACATCTCTTTGATGACTCTGGACTCCATCATGAAGTGCGCCTTCACTTATCAAGACAGTGTTCAGCTGGACAGGTCAGTGACAAGCTTTCAGCTATAGGGTCCTTGTTCTTACCAAGTGGTGGGGACTCACCTGAGAGGCAGGTAGAAAGACTTGGAAGCTTACCTTCACAAAAAGACAGATTCTGACCCCAGCCCCAGGCCAAATTCTAATTCCTGAGCAAACTCAACCCTGTACCAGTCACAGAACCCTGATCCCAACACAGGTGGAAGTCTGACTGCTCCTGCCACCTTCTAAAGTCCCGTGTCTCGGTGTTGCCTGTCTCCACCACATAGTAAATCTCATCTCAGAGTCCTTTCTACCTCTAGGTCAGACCTCCCTATCATCAGTCTGTTGTGCATGCTCTCCCTCAGGAATTCCCAGTCCTACATCAAGGCTATTAGTGACCTGAGCTACTTGATACCTTCTCGTGTGCGGAATGCCTTTCATCAGAATGACATCATCTATAGACTGACCTCTGCTGGTCGCTGGACCAACCATGCCTGCCAGATTGCCCATAAGCACACAGGTTTTGTTTTCTCCTACTGTTTCTCCTCCTTTACCAGGCTTAGCCCAAAGGAGCTGGGAATAACCCCTCAGGCACAGCCAGGTCTCCTGGTGCCCCTGAAGGACTTGGAACACATTCATGTTGGGTACTTCCCTAGTGCAAGTGTTGGGAGCCAAAATGTTAGGGGGTAAGGCAGCGTGGAAGTGGTTGCCAATGCCCTCATATTGGTAATGTGAAATGAGACCCATTCCAGGAGCTCATGCAGAGTCTCCACGTGCTGTGCTCCTGAAAGCAGTGCTGGCCTGCATCAAATGGTGCTAAACTCCCACTACTGGCCTACACACCTGCTCCCAAATGCATCCTGTGCTCCATAGGGCACCCAGATTGGGGAAGGTGGCACACATGGCTCCTGGTAGTTGCTATAGCCCTTGATTTTGTCTGGCAATTATTAACCTGAGACAGACCAAGTGATCAGGCAGAGGAAAGCTCAACTGAGGGATGAGGGAGAGCTGGAGAAGATCAAGAAGAAGAGGCACTTGGATTTCCTGGACATCCTCCTGTTTGCCAAAGTAAATGTGTGGGAAGAAGGCTGAGGGTTTGCCCAGGAGCAGAGGGAGGGACAAACCCTGCCTTCTCATCCATGGCCTCCCCAGATGGAGAATGGGAGCAGCCTGTCTGATGAGGACCTGCGTGCCGAGGTGGACACCTTCATGTTTGAGGGCCATGACACCACAGCCAGTGGTATCTGCTGGATCTTCTATGCTCTGGCCACACACCCTGAGCATCAGAAGAAGTGCAGGGAGGAGGTCCAGAGCCTCCTGGGGGATGGAGCCTCCATCACCTGGTGAGTGAGAGCTCAAGAGGTGGGAGAGCCCTGCCTCTGGTAGGGACAAGGTGCTGGTCTTCCTGGGCCCTGCCTGCCCCTCAGGATGGCCTTCACCTCAGGGACCACCTGGACCAGATGCCCTACACCACCATGTGCATCAAGGAGGCCCTGAGGATCTATCCACCAGTACCAGTTATAGGCAGAAAACTCAGCAAACCTATCACCTTTCCTGATGGACGTTCCTTACCCAAAGGTATGAGCATCTCAGACTCAATTCTGCCGCAGCCCGGCTGGCTGGGCAAACTAACCAGGGAGTGACAAGCAACTTGCGTAGATTGATACAGCAGGAGTGGGAGCCATTTATTGTAGGACAGGAGGGGTATATATACATTCCACACAGCTTATCTTAATTAACATAAACTAGATACAGCAGTCAACCAATAAGGAATCTCCACACTTAATGGCTCTCTGGCGTTACTTCTCAAACCACTCCCTCTGGCAAAATGCCAGGGGCCATCCTGACTTGTTTACAGACCTTAACAAATTCACCTAAGCTCTCCCCAGAGACAAGGGAGAATCTAAATCCCCGTGTGCTTCAGCAGTTCTGAACCTATTTGTGTCTTTCTTTCCTTATAGTAATCATTTCTCATTTTTTAGTTAGAATGATGCATATAAAGTGGTGGCACCTACCTGGGCCACAAGAAAATTTAATAAAAATTAATTCCCCTTCAACACCAAAAGAACTTTTTATATCTAGGACATTGGCTTAAACCATCCCTAAGATTCCTTTCAATTTCCTTTTATTTTCACTGGAATAGAATCATGAGCTTCTTTTATTCTCCAGGGCTATCTATCACTCAATCACCTTTAGAGTCTATGGTCTCATGACTATAGTTAACTCCATTTGGATTACACTAATATTTTTTATTCCAACACTCCAGGTTTTGGTTCTTTTTTTTTTTAATTTTTGCTCTAATTAGTTGTACATAATGCATCTTGACACATTGCACACAAATGGAGCACAACTTTTCATTCCTCTGCCTATACAGGTTTTGATTCTTGATTCAACAATTACAGTGCACATGTACAATTTCTTTCTTCACTTTCACATTTTTTTTGGAAATATCCTTTATATTTGATAGAATGTATAGATAACTCTACTGTGCTACATGCAAAAGGGCGCACATATCAGTTAACACAATGATAACTCAACCCTCTGAACCTTCTCCACGTGGATATTCACAGCCTCTGGGTGTGGTTTCGGGACTTCAGCCCTAAAATTCTCATTTCATGAGAAGTGGGGGGGCGGGGGCGGGAAGAATATGACAGGGACAGAGGGACACATGGATCTTTCCTTGGGGCAAGGCAAATGAGTAAAATCAGGAATCTCATGTCAGGAGTCAGATATAGTTTCGTCTTTGAGGAGCCCTTAGGTAGATGGCAGAGACCAGCTGATGGCTACATCTGAGTCCCCTCTCATGGCAGAAGGACACCATTATCTCAACTACCATTGGGTCTGACCTCTTCTCTGACCCACTTTAGCTGAGTGATCATAGAAATGTCACTTAGCCTCTCTCAGCCTCTTGTGCCTCATCTGAAAAATGAAGATAAAATCTCCCTGTCATTTGCATTTCACTGCTGCTCAGAGACTGTGAAATTGCCTCCAACTGGTAGGTGTTTGTGAATATCAAATGAATTAGTTTATATTCTCCAAAGACTGATGGAAGGCATTTGATGAAGTGAGTGGTCACTTGAGTTACTACAAACTGTGAGCCTCCAATGTTTTCTTGCTTCTCTTTCCTGAATTGTAGTTTTCTGCTCCTCACCTGTGCTCAGGGACTTTGCCAAGCCCTCCCCCAACTCCTTGTACTTGAGTCATACTACTCAAAGACATGATTTATGGCACCCGGCCTTTTGGGTCTGCAGGTCCCCTGCTGGCCAAGGGACCATAGCCCTACTTCATGGATACAGTAAGTCTTCTCTTTATCTCCTACCTGCCTACAGGTATCCTTGTCTCACTATCCATTTATGGCCTTCATCACAACCCGAAGGTGTGGCCAAACCCAGAGGTATGGAGGTTCTGAGGGAAGGAAAGGGTATAATCTCTGAAGATATCTCCTCCTGCTCCCATTTCTGGGCACTCTGTCCCCTCATGGGTGGGAAGCAGGGCTTGACCCTCACCTATTCTGGTCTCTCCACAGGAGTTTGATCCTTTCCGATTTGCACCCGGTTCTACTCGACACAGCCATTCATTCCTGCCTTTTTCAGGAGGATCTAGGTGAGCTGTCCTGTCTTGGTGGTGGGATAAGGAAAGAGAAGTCTCTGGGCACAAACCTGACGTTTGTGATCCCTTCACTGCCATGTAGCAGCTCTAGATATGCCCTTTTAGATGGTGGATGAAACAAAGAAGACTTGGGTGGGTATATCTGTGCCCAAAAGCAGGTTGCATTTCAAGTTATGCCACAGAGACATTGGCCCACTGTCCTTCCTAAGGGCCAGACAAATTTCAGCATCAGTGTGTTTTGGTGTTTTCCACACATTAGGGGTATGATTATGAATTAGGAAAGCTCATGTAAATTTAAATTCAATTTTATGCCCCTTAGTTTTGGTCCTTATTATATAGAGTCCTCTCCCCCCACACAGTCTCAACTCTGCCCACCACCCTTTTTGTTCAAGTCACTAATCCTTGGATCACTGAAGCAAATGATGAGTGGATTTGGGTTTGTTTTCTGTAAGCTTGGCATATGCCAACTGTGCAGATACCTTAAAGGTTACTGTTGCCCTTTGAAGACAGTTTACAGCGATGGGCATTCTCTCCACATTTGCAGTATCTCCCAACGTGATTTTTGACTGCATGTGAATGTTCATGTTCCTCTAGTAGCTTTCCAAGTTGTAAAAACCTGAAAAACCAAGTAAGAACTTACCTTAAAATTATACTTAAAGCACATATAGTCCAACTTCAGACAAAAAGGATAAAAATGAGGACAATAAATTGCCTTGGAGGAAAAATCCACCATTTTGTATATGGCATATTGCTTGAAAGTCACCTGATATGTACAATATAGAACCTTGAAGGAACCATGAAGCTGGGTAAGCATACTCCAAAGGGCTGCTGTGGCCATCCACAAACACTCAGGAATTGTCTTCTGCAATATAGTTTGCCATACACCTTGTAAATATTACTAGAAACAAAGATTTTTTCTGATTCATGATTATGTGAGTTCTTCAAATGCTTATCAGCTTTAGAACACGCTTTCAGCAAATTGATAATTCACATTGGTTTTTCCAAATTTTGATTTTTGGGGGCTACTTCTTTCTTCCTAGACGTTGGCTACAAATAATGTTGCTGACACAAAGGGATAGGAAAGTCTAGATATATCATTTTCTAGGTAGAACTAACATTTATTTTCAGTGTCATCTACTGAGTGCTTTTCAATTTCTTTAACTTAATTCACACATAAAGATTGAAAAGATATATTTCCCTGCACCAAGTCCTATGCTTAGAGATGGAAACAGAGATATAGAATACCACTGCTGGTTCAGGACAAAAGCAGAAACCAGTGGTACAGAATCAGATACCTATACCCAAGATGGACATCTTTCCCTCCTTCCATTTTTTCACTCACTCACCACTCACTGAACAACTGTGGAATGTCCTTGAAACTGTCAAAGGCCCTGGAGGGTGGTGTGTCCTTGAATAAAACACTAGGGTGACTTGCAGAGAGAGAGGGGTGAAGGCCAACTAGTCATTGGCCTAAGCCTAGAAGATGTGTAGGCAGAGTTGGAGGGAGGACATCCTGAAGAACATGAGCTGAGCTTGGAATGGGGCTGGACAGACAAGAAGCAGACAAGACTAGTAGTCATATCTGTATCTGCTTTCCTGGGCCTGTGTTGTGCCCTGGCTCCTCTCCCTCTATAGTGAAGCAACAACCCAACATTTCCAGAATAGAATTAAAAGGCAACCAACACTGGTAGAATGAGGGGTATGAGAGAGGTAGGAGCCTGACCACTGAGATGGACACGGATATGGCTGCAGCTTAAGGATCCTAAACCTGATGAATCTTCCAGGATTTTCTCCATTGATATGTGTCTCCCCTTTCAGGAATAGGTACTCTTTTCCCCATAGATGGTGAACCCTGAGAGTGTGGCCCACTGCTCCCCATGCAGCCCTGACTAGTGGTATCCACAACTGGGGAACCAGAAACTCTTAGTGAAGGGAGTGAACTAACCAATGACTAACTGTTTAAAAGAATCATATGTGATGACACTCTGCCTTAGAGTTCTGGCACCTAACAGATTTCATGTCAGTGAGAGCAGAAGTAGGGTCAGGGCTGGTTCCGAAACAGTGGTAGGCTATGTCAAGGTCAAGAGAGTGTAAGCCAGGCTGGGGGAAGATGCATTAGGGGCCTATAAGGAAAACCACTGGTATGGGCCCATGAGAGAAGGCCCTGCTTTGGGCTGGGGCTCAAGGGCCAATGCCTTGCCAGCTCAGGATGGAACCTGAGGCCACTTTTTATGCCTTGTCCCTGCCTGGCCCAGGAACTGCATCGGGAAGCAATTTGCCATGAATGAAATGAAGGTGGCCGTGGCTCTTACTCTGCTTCGCTTTGAGCTGCTGCCGGATTCTACCAAAGTCCCCTTCCCCGTGCAACGTATTGTGTTAAAGTCCAAGAATGGGTTCCACCTGCATCTCAGGAAGCTCCACTAATGCTGGTAGGGAAAGGCCCAATCTTTGCACCTACTGCCTGCCATTCTATCTTCTTGTTAACTGATTTTGCCCTCCCGTATGTCTACCTTTCTGTATCACACCTGCCTGCAGTCTCTCTATCTGCTTCTTTGTCTACCTGTCTCCTATCTCATCTCTGTGCACCTAACCTCTGGCCACCTGCTGGCCCTCTTTTATCTCTTCCCTTTGTGCTGCCTGTCTGTACCTGTGCTATCTTCCTATTTTGTTATAATGAACTATCACCACTATAATGACTTAAAACAACCCATGTTTATAATCTTACAGCTCTGGAAATCAAATGTCTGAAATGGATTTCCCTGGACAAAAACCAAGCTGTTGCAGGATTTCTCAGGGACAACTCCTGTTCTCCTAATGGATGGATAGGTCCATCTCCCAGGGATCATCTCCTGTACTTAAAATTGACTAATTGTACATGTTAACCCTAACTAAAACATTTTTTTCACAGTTACATCTGGACTAGCATTTAATTGAATAAGTGAGTAATTCAGCCTTGTCAAGTTGAATCATAGGCATCACATTTTATTCTGGCAAGTTGTCATTGAAATACATCCCCATAAACTTATTTAATCAGAAAATAAAGATTTGCTATGTAACCAAATCCCTCTAAGAGTGTTTATAGCCCTCAGGGATATAACAAAGTCATACTTCTGCCAACTACCCAGCATAGTATTAAAAATACACTATCATTCCCCACTCCAAGTACAATAATAAAAAGTCAGAATTGTCCCAGGGCTGGAATCCCTGAGGGCAGCCCCTGCAACGGGGAAGTGTAGAAATGTGAGAAGGAAGTAAAGCTGCAGTGGAGACCCCAGGGATTAAGAAATGCCAGAAATGTGAGACATTGTCCCACCAAAGTTGCAAGAATCCAGCAGAGTCAAGCCAACAGAGAAGCCATGTGGGTTGCAACCAGCAAAGACACCGGGGCAGAGCTACACAAGCCTTTTAGAGAGAACATCACAATGCCATGTGCTCCAGATGCCGGATGTGAAACTACAAGACTTGTTTATCCAGCTGGATTTTAGTCTTGCTTTGGTCCCATCCTTCTTTCTATACCCCTATTTTTCTGAATGGGACTGTTGACTCTGTACCTTTATTTTTATTTGTTCTTTTTTGATATATATGAGAGTAGAGTATATTTTGACATATTATCTATACATAGAGTATAACTTATTCTAATTAGGATCCCATTCTTGTGGTTGTAGGTGATGTGGAGTTTCACTGTGGTGTATTCATATATGAACATAGGAAAGCTGTGTCAAATTCATTCCACTGTCTTTCCTCCATACCTTTCTTTCTGAAATATTTTTGGTGTTTTACTCTGAATTCTGTACTTTGGATTTGACCTTTGGGCATCATAAAGAAATGAGAGTGAGGATGTTAAGATGAAAATGGCTCCATCCCTTGCTCTCCATGATTTTGCTGGTGATTTGACCCTGAATGTTTCTAAGACATCAGCTCACACTTCACATGTAATTCTATCTTCTGCTTTTTTCACTATCTTGTAAGCATTGGTCATATAATGCTATGTTCTCCATAAGGATTATTTTAAATGACTATGTTCATCTAGCCACATGGCTGGCCCTCACAGGAGCTTCCCTGGGTACAGAGTCTTGCCTTTGTGCCAATATGTGGAGAAGATGATCTGTTGTGTCTTCCCGCTACTTGGAAACACTGGATGAAACAGGATAGGCCAGAAATGCTCCCTGCAAAGTTGGGGCATCCTGTAGCTAATCATTGCCTCGTTCACATTAAGGTCAACAGCAAAATCTCTGGATTCAGACTGCCTGGGTTAGAATCCTGGCTGCACCTCTGACCAGATGGTTGATTCTGGACAAGCAGCTAACCCCTTTCTTCCTTAGATTTCCTGTCTATGATATGAGATGGTTTGAGGTTTGTTTGTTTGTTTGTTTTGTTGTTGTTGTTTTGTTTTGCTTTTCTATTCTTATGATTGCTGTGAAAGATATCTGATAAAGATCTGATCATTGCCCTAAACATAGAATGCTCACTACTCTAAGAACGGTGGGATGAAAAAATAATCTCAAAATTAGGGCAAAACTGAGTGGATTGGAATATAAATAGTTACATGCTCCTCTGCCCTTGGTTTCTGACAGAGTTCAGGATTCAGATAAGAAATAAAAGAGCTCTGGCGTCAGGGGTTGACTAATGTATCACCTGTCACAATAAAAGACAATGAAGGAGGGTGTTGGAAAAGGCATTTGGGTGGGTAAGGGGTCAGGCCAGGAAAAAACTTGCAGCCCCTGTTTATTGCCTGAAATATCTTTTGTGTTTTACTTTCTGAATTCTGCCTGATGGATTTGACCTTAAAGAATCATGAAATTATGAGAGTGAGATTCTTGAAGATGAGCATGTCCCCATCTGTTGTTCTTGCTTTGCTGGTGACTGACCTTCCCTAACGCACTTCCTCCCAGATAAACTATTCCTCCTTTACCATCCCTTTGTATTTTCATTTTCTTCTTCCCTGGTGGCTATCTCATTCCTCCAGCATAGCCTCATCATATTTTACTGTACTAATGTCATTCCCTGCCTTTGCCCACTAGACTGAGAGGTCAGGAAATATTTGTTGAATTTGTTGAGAGAAAGAATGAGATGTTCTATGGGGTAAGTCAAAAGGGATTATTATCCAACTCTGCAAAAGAAATCACAGTACTCAGAGAAGGTAAGTGGCTGGCTACATATAAAATGAGGTTGATGTGGGCCTGGAGCCTCCTGAATCAAAGCCCAGTGCTCCACAGTCAGCCTGGGTCACAGTGTGTAGTGGATAGGGCAACCCCCAGCAGGGGCAGGCAGTTTGGGAGTCCAGTAGGAAATAATTCTAATCTTACCACCCACTGTTCAGATATTTTCCTCTGAACACTTCAATGTATCTCTTTAGAATAATTTTTTTATAACTAAAATCATGTCAGTAGTACAAGCAATCATGGACTGAACAGTTGATGAATTACACTATGAATTTCTTGAAGTCTGGGTTCATGTTTCTTCTCTTAGTATCCCTGCTCCACCACTAGGATATTGCCTAGCACATAATCGGTGCCTAACAAATATTTGTAAGTAATATGGAGACGGGTAAGTGAGTGTTCATGGTCATTGCTTCTGTCAGCTGATAAGACTTTGACTTCACTGTTTTCCCAAGGTAAATCTTTCAGAGGAATCAACTCTGGATTCAGATCAAGCTCTGTCCTGACCCTTCTCTCTCCTACTGGTGGTAAAGGTAATCCTCCCAGGACTTAGGTGGGGTTACTTAGAGGGTTCAGTGATACTGAGGGATCGTCAGTTGTCTAAAAGCTGTTGCTTCACAAGCATCTCTGCACTGAGCCTCACCAAACTCTCAAGATGTATCTCTGGATTCCTCCAAGTGGCCTTTATGCTGGGCCTACTTCTTCTGCTGTACAAGGCAGCCCAGCAGTACATGTTGCAGGCAGTGGCTGCTCATAACCCTCAAGCAGTTCCCATTCCTGCCCTCTTTGGGCACAAGGTAGGAAGCAGGAGGAAGTGGAGTAGAAGGGCAGGCAGGTTCAGCCCACAGAGACTGGCCAGCAAGTCCACAGGACAAAGCCTCTGTGGAACACAGCGTAAAGCTTCTGAGAAACACCCAGATATCCTCTCAGGCTAGGCTCATCCCTGTGAAAGGAAGCTCATTCCCTCACAAGAATCCTATCCTGCTGTTATTCAGCTTTATTACTGTTACCTGCCCAGGCAGCCTTGTGCTGGGAGACTATGGTTGGTCTTTCCTGAGTCTGCTGTTTATGCTGAGCATCCCTAGCTCCCTCAGCTTTCACATGTGTGGCTTCAAGAGTAGAACAAGCAAATCTTTTATAATTCTAAATATCTGTAGTAGTCAGGTTTTTGTTGCTGTGACAAAATAACTGAGAAAATCAGCTTAAAGGGGAAAATATTTATTTGGACATATGGTTTCAGAGATTTCAGTCCATAATCACTTGATCCCATACTTTAGGCCTTTAGTGAGACAAAACATTATTGCATATGAAATCCTATGCTAAGTGTGTAAATAGATAAAAGATACTGTCCCTGCCTCCAAGAGCTTAGAATCACAAAGTAGGGTGTGCAGAATCAGATACCTACCTTTAGACAGACATCATTCCTTCATTCTTTCACTGGCTCAATAGTTTTGATAACCAGTTTGTGGAATATTCTATGTCTCTGGCACTGTTCAAGGCCCTGGACTACAGTATGTCTTGAATAAAACACCCATGGGGACTTTGAGGCCTGGAAGATAGAGCCAGCAGGCCACTGATATTGGCCTGATCCTTGAAAATACAAAGGCAGAAGTGAAGGGAAGACATCCTCAGTGACCTCAACAGCTTGAGCTGAGCTTGGAAGTGGATTTCAGGTAAGAGGTAGTCAAGGCAGCAGCCCACAGAGGGTATGCAGGGAGCTAAGGCATTTAGACACTGTCTAAAGGGCAGGGCAGGTTTAGTGTGGAGGTGGGGAGTCAGGCATACCAAAGAAGTCCAGGCGAGGGGACTGAAGTTGGCAAGGATGGACATTTCTGGAGTAGAATTAGAAGATTACAGATGCTAATGAACTGAGTAGGCCAAAGGAGCAACTGAAAGGTGAGAGAAGGTGGCTTCTAGGATCCCTCCCAGTTTCAGAGTCTTAATCCATAGAAGGCTGGCTCCATTCCTTGGCCCTCAAGATGAGGCAGAACATCACGGTAGAAGAGGAGTGTGACAGGGAAGCAGCTCACATGATGATCAGAAAGCAAAGAGAGAGATATCTTCACTTGCCATATACAAATATATACCCCAAAGTCATGTGGTCCAATGTCCCACCTGCCATCAGTTACCACCCAGTTAATCCCTTCAGGTGATTAATTCACTGACTGGGCTAAGGTTCTCACAACCGAATCATTCCCCCGCTGAACCCTCTCACATTGTCTTACATGTGAGCTCTTGGGAGACACCTCACATCCAAAACATAAC